AGCAAGGGGAGGCAATGGACTAGTGGTGTTATCACTGGACTGTTAATCCAGAGACCCAGATAACATTCTGGGAAACGTGGATTGAATCCCGCCACAGCAGATGGTGGAATTTGAATTCAATAAACATCTGGAATTAAGAATCTAATGATGATCATAAATCCATTGCCAATTGTCAGAAAAACCCATCTGGTTCACTAATGTCCTTTAGGAAAGGAAACTACCATCCTTATCTGGTCTGGCCTACATGTGACTCCAGAATCACAGCAATGTGGTTGATTCTTAACTGCCCTCTGGACAATTAATGATGGGCAATAAACGCTGCCTGGCCAACAATGCCCTCATCCCTTTAATGAATAAAGGGGAAAAAAAGGTGCTGCAGCCTCCCCTGCTCTAATACAATGGACAATTACATCATTATAAGGTTTACTGCCCAAAACTGCCATTATCACCAAACCTAAGACTTGAGATAAAGTCAGAAACATGTTGAATTGGCAAGCCACAGACCTACACTGTCCCAAATCCAATGCCTAAGTGGCCGAGAATAACTTGCATTTAGCTATCTACCAGAATCAGAGTCAAGATGGAAAACAGCAGTCAAAAACAATGTGCAGAAATATTCTATCAATTTAATTTATTTAAATAGCACTTGCTGATTTGTGAATTGTAACTTTGAAAGCAAAAAGCAAAACATTTGTTTGCCTAGTTTTCTACCAACTACTCATCCATAAAGTCCCTCAATACAACTTCCAATTCATTGCCATTTAGTGAGTCAATCAGATGGTTAATGAGCATTTAAAAATGGTTTTGAAAAAAAATTCAAGTGAGTGAGGTCTTCCTTTGCTGAAAGTAAAAATATTTCAAACAATTTAGACTCTTCATTTTCAAGAGCAAACTTTCAAGATACCTTATAGCAGTGGCCTTAATGAAATCAAAATACACTATATCCATTGTTCACTCTATCAATCTTCTTTGTCATACCCTCAAAGGAAGCTAGCAATTTAGGTTGGCAAGATCTCCCCATTCAACAAATTTGCAATGGCTATCTTCTGCTTCATTTCTACCCAAATATTCCTTGAGCTCTAAGAGCTTTGATAATGGTAATCACAACAAACATCAGGCTCTCATTGACTAATATGTCCTTCACCATTTCCAAGGACTAATTGTGTGCATTTGTTGAGTAACAGTCTTTAAATATTTGTGCAAACTTAATTTGTCCTAATTTAGATTATAACTTTTAATTTAACCTGTAATTGTGATCTTTCAGCAAGTTTATTCTCAAGAGATGCATTGAAAGATCAGATTAATTAAGTAGCAGCTGAAACTGGGTCATCATTTAGAGAAGAAACTAGGCTCTGTGTGTTGAGAGCACATATAAGCAGCCGAATTAGCGCTGGAGTTGAGTGTCTCAAGGAATTCAACGGAGGAAAGAGGGAAGTGTTTGATTGCTTTTGTCTAAACAAAGCAGTTGATTGGTATTTCTAGTTATTGAATTAAAATTAAGGTCTTCGGTTTGTGTTTAGGGTCTCTAGCATTTTCACCCTATTTTTCTTAAAAAAAGCTTATTAAGTTTAAGATTGATAGTGTATAAAAAAGAACATTAAAAAGTACAATAAAGTGCCACAGCAGGGATTCTTGAAGTGTATAGAGCAGTGTTGCTTGAGTGATTTTTAATTAATAATTGAAAGAAAATAGAAGAGTTGGCAGGTTGGATGATGTATTGCACTTGCAAAACGTGGCAGCAGCTGGACACTAAGATGATCCACAATGAATATAGCTGTTTGCAGCTCGAGCAACTTTGGATCAGAGTTGAGAAACTGAAGCTCTGTCTGAGGCTACTGCGCCACGACAGGAAAGGTGGAAGTTACCTGGACACTTCACTACAGGTGGTGGCCATACACATTAGATTATGTTATTTAAACCTGGTCTGTGATTAAGAATAGGTGGGTGCAATTAAAGGTGATGCAGATATGGAGCCCTAAGGGGCAGATCTGGAAGAGTCTCTCCCTTCAAATGTTTAACAGCTAAGAAAATTTTTTGCAAGCTGTGTGGACAAGAGTGGTGACTCCAGGGAAAATGACAGAATTGACCATAATGCCATTGTACAGGTAGCCATGTAGGAGGAGGAAATAGGAACGTATTGGGGAAAAATATAATTAGGAAAGTAGATACTGATCTACGGAGCCACCAGCAGGAATCCAAAGGCTGTGTTGCCTGCATGGTTAAGGATTAAGGACATCTCCTTGGTGCTGGACAGCAACTTGGAGTGGGAGGGGAGAAATCCTGTTGTCATTGTTGTTCGTACCAGTCTGAACAATGATAGGACTGGAAAGGAGGTTCTGAAAGATTTTGAATACTTGCGAACTAAATTGAAAAGAAGGACTTCGGAGAGGGGGAATCCATAAGCTTACAAAGGAAAAATGATATGGCAGCATTGCAGGTCAACTATTTTGGTAATGACACCCAGATTGAAGAAAGGAAGAGTTGAGTATACTAAAATACTTTTTGTTTTGAAAAGCAGTAACAGAGGTTAAAGGGGCATAAAATGATAAAAAGACTAAATTAATAGCTCCTTAGTTAAACGTACGCAGTTTTCATAAACTTGAATTAACAACAAAGAGGTCAATGGATATGATCTTATTGCCATCAGAAAGACACGGTTTCAAAGAGATCAAAGCTAGGAACTAAATATTCAGGAGTACACAATTTTTTTGGAAAAACAAAGGGTGGCGGGGTAGCTTCATTGGTACAAAATGGAATAAATACAATAGCAAGCAATGAATTACTAGGATAGGATGATGTTCTATAGGACAGAATAAATCAGAAGATAATGAGGGTGTTTTTTTTAAATTAAATGCAGTCCATTAATTATGGTTGACTTTAATTCTCATGTAGATTGGGAAAATCAAATTGGCAAAGGTAGCACTAAGAATACTTCATAGTATATTTGGGACAGCTTCCTTTATTTTTAAATTTATACGTCAGATGTGGGTGCTGCTGGCAGCATTTATTGCCTGTCCCTAGTTGCCCTTAGAAAGCCTTCTCAAACCACTGCAGTCCACCTGCTGTGGGTTGGCCCACAATGCCATTAGTGAGGGAATTCCAGGATCTTGACCAGCAACAATGAAAGACAGCAATTATATTTTCAAGTCAAGATGGTCAGTGCCTTGGAGGGAAACTTGAAGATGGTAGCTATATATCTAGCTCCCTTGTCCTTCTCGATGAAGTGGTTGTGGGCTTGGAAGTGCTGTCTCAAGATCTTTGAATTTCTGCAGTGCATGTTGTAGATAGTACACACTTCTGTTACCAAGCATCAGTGATGGTGGAGGGAATGGATGCTTGTGGATGTGGTGCCACTCAAGTGGGCTGCTTTGTCCTGGATAGTGTCAATCTTCGAGTATTACTGGGGCTGAACTTATCCAGGCAAGTGGGGAGTATTCCATCACACTCCTGACTTGTGCCTTGTAAATGATGGACAGGTTTTGGGGAGTCAGGTGGCGAGTGACTCGCTGTAGGATTCCTGGTCTCTGACCTACTCCTGTACCAACCACTGTTTAAATGGCCAGTCCAGTTTTGTTTCTGGTCGATGGTAAATCCTAGGATGTTGGTAACGGGGGTTTCAGTGGTGATAATCCGACTGAATGTCAAGGGTGATGGTTGTCTCTTGTTGGAGATTGTACCAACAGATTCAAGAACAGTTACTTCCCCACTGTTATCAAACTTTTGAACTTTGAACATGATCTTTCTCTGCACCTGCTCTGTTGCTGTAATACTATATTCTGCATTTTGTTCTACTACGCTGATGTACTTACATTAGATCTGATTTGCCTATATAGCACACAAAACAATACTTTTCACTGTATCTCAGTATGTGACAAGAATAAATCAAAAGGTCATTGCCTGGCATTTGTTACTTGCCATTTCCCTTGGCTAATCCAACTAACTTGCACATCTTTGCACTGTGGGACGGAACTTACGTGCAAACTCCAGACAGTTACCCAAGGCCGGAACTGATTCTGGGTCCCTGGCACTGTCAGGCAGCAGTGCCAACCACTGAGCCACAATGCTGCTCCTAGTGCTAGCACTAACACGAACACGGACAATCATAAACCTGAAATTATTTGTTTTGTCAATTGAATTTAGCACCAAAAGGACAGATAATCTCTTAGGAAATAAACACAAATACTGCAAGGTCGAGCCCTTGAAGTACCACCTAGGTGATTCTATGTTACTACATTTAAGACATAGGACACCCAGAAATCATTGCCACTTGCGTCCTCTGGGAATCAGTGCCAATGCCCTCATGCACCACCGGGGAGAAGAAGCCCTCAGCTCTGTTTCCCTGGGGAATCCCAGGAGATGCCAAACGCCCCCTTCCCACACGAGAGACAGTGAAACCCTCGCCCTGCACGTTCCTCAACCAGCATTCCAGGAACACTGAGCATCCTACCCCTAGCCCCACCTACCACCGTAAACTGAGGGACACTGAGCACCCTACCCCCCCCCCCCCCCACACACTGGGGGGGGGGGGGGGGGGGACATTGATCACCACAGCACCACCCCATCCCACACACTTGGGGAGGGGGTGAAGAACACTGATCACCCCATCCCACACACCATGGGGCCACTCAGCACCCCACCCTAACCTGCACACAGCGGGGGGGAGAGAAGATGAGAACACTAAGCACCACCCTCCTCCATCCCACACACGGGGGTGAAAACTGAACCGCCCCCCCACCCGCATTCCGGGGGTGAGAACACTGAGCACACCGTGCCCCCCCCTCCGCAACTCCGGAGCAACGCCCAGCCCCTCCCCCTCCTCCCGGCGGATGCCGAGCACTCGCCCTCCCGCACTTCCCAGGAATCGAATTCTTTCGCCAACAGCTCTGTCGCCTCTGCTAGCACCGACACCTGCCGAAAGTACAGCCCCGCTCCTTGCACGGGAACCAGAGGTGTGCCTTACTCGGCAGTCCCTAATAGCTTGTCCTGTATCACTGACTGACCTGAAAATTATCCACAGGAACCGCCACAACTCGACAAGATGGAGCCGGAACCGGAACTGGAACCTCCACTTCCGGCCAGCAAGCAGTGGGAACAGAATCAATGAGCAAGAAAGAGAGGGATAGTAAGGTGGTGGTTACAGGGCCAGCAGTAATATATATCTACAAATAAACCAGCAATGTACAAAACTAACAACATTATGGTACACACAAAACCAGAAGTACTATAGTATGTATAAAAAAGCAACAAAATCGTCGACATATAAAACCAGCAGTTTTATAGAACACATATAAGACCAGCAGTATTACAGTCTACATAAAGCCAAGAGCAATATATTACACAGTCATAGATCTACATATAAAGCCAGCTGCGATGTATCATATATAACCAACACAGTGATGTAGTAAACTAGTTGATCTATGATTGTGAGGTAGAAAGGCTGACGTTTCGAGCCGATATGGAGACAAAGAGGTCCAGGAAGGGGAGAGAGGTATTAGAGATGGTCCAGGTAAACTTAAGGTTGGAGTGGAAGGTGTTGGTGAAGTGGATGAACTGTTCGAGCTCCTCGTGGGAGCATGAGGTGGCGCCGATACAGTCATCAATGTAACGGAGGAAGAGGTGGGGTTTAGGACCGGTGTAGGTACGGAAGAGGGATTGTTCCACGTAACCTACAAAGAGGCAGGCGTATCTTGGGCCCATGCGGGTAACCGTGGCCACCCCCTTTGTCTGTAGGAAGTGGGAGGAATTGAAAGAGAAGTTGTTCAGGGTGAGGACAAGTTCGGCTAAGCGGATGAGGGTGTCAGTGGAGGGGGACTGTTCGGGCCTGCGGGACAGGAAGAAGCGGAGGGCCTTTAGGCCATCTGCATGGGGAATGCAAGTGTAGAGGGACTGGACGTCCATGGTAAAGATGAGGTGTTGGGGACCAGGGAATTGGAAGTTCTGGAGGAGGTGGAGGGCATGGGTGGTGTCACGGACATAGGTAGGGAGTTCCTGGACCAAGGGGGAGAAAATGGAGTCCAGATAGTTGGAGATCAGTTCGGTGGGGCAGGAGCAGGCGGAGACAATGGGTCGACCACGGCAGTCAGGTTTGTGGATTTTGGGAAGGAGATAGAAGCAGGCAGTGCAGTGTTGGGGAACGATGAGGTCGGAGGCTGTGGGTGGGAGGTCACCTGAGGTGATGAGGTTGTGGATGGTTTGGGAGATGATGGCTTGGTGCTCAGGTGTGGGGTCATGATCAAGGGGGCGGTAGCCACCCCAACCTTAAGTTTACCTGGACCATCTCTAATACCTCTCTCCCCTTCCTGGACCTCTCTGTCTCCATATCAGGCAACCAGCGAGAAACCGATATTCATTTCAAGCCCACCGACTCCCACAGCTACCTAGAATACTTCTCTTCCCACCCACCTTCCTGCAAAAATGCTATCCCCTATTCCCAATTCCTTCGCCTCCGCCGCATCTGCTCCCAGGATGAGGCATTCCACTCCCGTACATCTCAGTTGTCCTCGTTTTTCAAGGACCGTAACTTCCCCCCCTCAGTGGTCGAGAACGCCCTCAACCGTGTCTCCCACATCTCCCGCAACTCATCCCTCACACCCCGTCCACGCAATAAGAACCAAAAAAGAATCCCCCTCGTCCTCACGTACCACCCCACCAACCTCCGGATCCAACGCATCATCCTCCGACACTTCCGCCATCTGCAATCCGACCCCACCACCAAAGACATCTTTCCCTCCCCACCCTTATCTGCTTTCCGGAGGGACCACTCTCTCCGTGACTCCCTTGTCTGCTCCACACTCCCCTCCAGCCCCAACACACCCGGCACTTTTCCCTGCAACCGCAGGGAGTGCTATACCTGCCCCCATACCTCCTCCCTCACCCCCATCCCAGGGCCCAAGAAGACTTTCCACATCAAGCAGATGTTCACCTGCACATCTGCCAATGTGGTATACTGCATCCGCTGTACCCGTTGTGGCCTCCTCTACAATGGGGAAACCAAGTGGAGGCTCGGGGACCGCTTTAGAGAACACCTACGCTCGGTTCGCAATAAACAACTGCACCTCCCAGTCGCGAACCATTTCAACTCCCCCTCCCATTCCTCAGACGACATGTCCATCCTGGGCCTCCTGCAGTGCCACAACGATGCCACGCGAAGGTTGCAGGAACAGCAACTCATATTCCGCTTGGGAACCCTACAGCCCAATGGTATCAATGTGGATTTCACAAGCTTCAAAATCTCCCCTCCCCCTACCGCATCCCAAAACCAGTCCAGCTCGTCCCCGCCTCCCTAACCTGTTCTTCCTCCCACCTATCCCCTCCTCCCACCTCAAGCCGCACCCCCATCTCCTACCAACTAACCTCATCCCGCCCCCTTGACCTGTCCGTTCTCCCTGGACTGACCTATCCCCTCCCTAAGTCCCCACCTACACTCACCTTTACTGGCTCCGTCCCCGCCTCTTCGACCTGTTTGTTTCCTCTCCACCTATCTTCTCCTCTATCCATCTTCTATCCACCTCCCACTCGGTCCCTATTTATTTCAGAACCCCCTTCCCCTCCCCCTTTTCTGATGAAGGGTCTAGGCCCGAAACGTCAGCCTTTCTACTCCTATGATGCTGCTTGGCCTGCTGTGTTCATCCAGCCCTGCACCTTGTTGTCTCGGATTCTCCAGCATCTGCAGTTCCTACTATCTCTGATCTATGATTGTGTTGGTTTTGTGTGTATGCTATATTGCTGGTTTTGTATTCATATACAATTCTTGGTTTTAAACGTATACCATATTGCTGCTGGATTTTTATATGGATATGAGTCTGTGTTCAGTTTATATGCATACTATAGTAACACTGATTTTGTAAGTGTAATACATTGCTGTGGGCTTTATGTGTACTGTAATGCTGCTGGTGATGTCGTAAACTAGTTGTCCTAAACAACAGTCATATATCTTACAAGATTTCAATTAGATTTCTCCCTACTTATCTGTAAGCAAGTGATGTGACCTTTCTATACAGACTAAATGAAAGTTAACATTCTAATAGCTGTTTTTGTACCTATCTACTAGTTTTAATAGTTTCTGTACATGGAGCCCATACTTAAGAGTAATGGAGTCATACAGCATGGAAAACAGACTCCTCAGTCAAATTTGTCTGCGTGACCAGAATCCCAATCTGACCTAGTCCCACTTTCCAACATTTGGCCCATATCTCTCTAAACCCTTCTGTTGATATATCCATCCAGATGACTTTTGAATGCTGTAATTATACTCACCTCCACCACTTCCTCTGTCAGCTCATTCTATACATACACCACCATTTGCGTGAAAAAGTTACCCCTCAGGTCCTTTTTTTAATTCTTTCCCCTCTCATCTTAAACATATCCCCCTAGTTTTGGACTCCCCCAACCCTAGGGAAAATACTTTGGCTATTGACCCTATCCATGCCCCCCATCATTTTATAAACCTCTGTATGGTCACCTCTCAGCCTCCAGGGTAAAAAGCCCCAGCCTACTCAGCCTCTCCCTATAACTCAAACTGTCCAGTTCCAACAACCTTCATGTAAATCTTTTCTGCACCCTCTCGACTTTAACAACATCCTTCCTATAAAAGGGTGACCAGAACTGTATGCAGTACTCCAAAAGTATCCTCGCTGATGTCCCAACTCCTACAATCAATATTCTGACCAATGAAGGCAAACATGCCAAACACCTTCTTCACCACCCTTTCTACCTGCAACTCCACATTCATACAACAATACACCTGCAACTCTAGGTCTCTTTGTTCAGCAACACTCCCCAGAGCCCTACCATTAAGTGTATAAGTCCTGCCCTGGTTTGCCTTACCAAAATGCAACAACTTGCATTTGTCTAAATTAAGCCCTATTTGCCATTCCATAGTCCATTGGCCCATCTGTTCAAGGCCCCATTGTACTCTGAGATAATCTTCTTCTCTGTCCACTACACCACCAATTTTCCCCGTTCTTCCACAGTTTCTTGTTTCTCACCATTTAGAAATGCTCTTGTTCACCTTTCTTAAGTCTGAAATGAGAGATCTCACTTTTTTGCCCAATCACTTTGATCCTTTGCAACTCTTTGCCCCTGTCTGCGTTGCATACTGCACCACTTAACATGGCTAAATCAACGTTTATACATATGCAAAACCAGAAATTGCTGGAAAAGCTCAGCAGATCTGGCAGTATCTGCGGAGAGAAATCAAAGTTAACGTTTCGGGTCCTGTGATCCTTGTTCAGAACTTTATACGTATGCTTTCTACTCCTTCATCGAAGTAGTTTGACAAATGTTGTGAAACACTTGGACAGAGATCATGGACCTCAGGATTGCTCCTGGCAACCAGGTCCCAATCCTGATCTGAAAGTAGCAGGCCGACAAGAGTCCTAGGGCCTGATTATTGGGTCTCGGGCTTCAGTACAGATCCCTGTGTGAGACACATATGATGAAAATTCTTTGGTGCCAGCTCAGATGCAAGAATCTCACACTTAAAATCTTGGACATACTAATTTAGAAGTGTACTATGATCTTTGCTTAAAATAGTTCAGCCTCGTTTGCTTGCCTTTCATTCCCTCGTACAAGAATACTGACATAATCAGTTCATTTCTTTAACAGATTACAATCTTGCAACTACAACCCATCTAGAAAATTCTCCATCAGCATCTACACCCACCACTGCCACACCACCCTCAACTATAGCATAAATGCTGCCCCCCTACACACTTCACCTCAGTTCTGATGAAGAGTCATCTAGACTCAAACGTTAGCTTGCTCTCTCCATGGATGCTGTCTGAACTGCTGTGATCTCCAGCATTTGTTGTTTTCTGCAGTATCTGCAGTAATTTGCTCCTATAGAATATTCTCTTCATCTATAATGTTTTGAAATATGTCAACAAAACTCAATTCAATGCCCACTAGTCTTATTTGTTTGGTTTCTGTACTGCTTTCAGCATTGAAATGGCCCAGAGTTCTCAATAATCACAGTGGTGATATCTGGTATCTTCTCACCCCAGCTTTGGAATGATTAACACTATTCTCCTCCATCATCCTCTTCTTTGTAGCACTATCCCCAAAATGTTCGTTCATGCCCCAGCTGAGCTACTGAAGCTCTTACA